GCAGCGCATCTCGGCCGCGCTCTTGGTGCAGAGGCTGAATGCCCACATGACTGCTTTCGTCGAATTGTTCGCCAGTGCCAGCGGCCTAACCTCTCCCGGGCGCCGAACGACTTCGCGAGGACCCTCGAGCCGCGCGCCCTTGGCGGGGAAGACCGCAACGCTGGAAATCCAGCAACTGCACATGAGGGCCCTGTCGTAGGGCCGGGGCCAGAAGTCTACCTTCCACGGGGTCATCTCCGAAAACCCAACGCCAATATGGAGCAACACCTCGGACCTCGCCCTCGCGTGTTCGCGGGGGCCTCGATGGCGCCGAGGAACCTCCGTGCCGAAGTGCTGGCCCATAGTGCGGCGCGACGGCGAAGGGCGCGCTGCTACCTGACGATGGCTGCCTTCGCGCGCCCATTGGACTCCTGATCCACCTCCGCCTGTCGTCTACGAATGCTGGCTTGGACGCAGCGATGCTGGGCCAGCCGGTGCCCGTAAGAAAACTCAGCGGGGTCGCGCATAACCGCCTGCCGCCCAGCGACAGCTCAAGCGGAGGGTTCGATCTGGATGACCTGCAATGCCCACGGGCAGCTGCGCATCAGACATCCGGCCAGCATCACATCATGTCGCCATGCTGCGCGCCGCAACTGCCTCCATGCCATGGCCGAGGAGGCCGACGCGCATGCATCCCAGGACCTTGCGAGCGCGGCGACTTGCCAGCTCGGGGGCGCGCGGAGCATTCGTCTCTTGCCCAGCGGCCCCGCCTTAACGACGTAGTCAGCCTCCGCCGCACATGCGTGGACAAGGGGGCGGCAGAGGCCAGGAAGCTGGCCTTCGACAGGTCCTCGTTGCAGCGACTAAACACGGCGGCCGCGTCGGGGCCGCGTCGGGCTCCTTGTCCCAGTCAGGACCGTTCTGCACCACCTGCGGCCCCGCCTTCGACACGATGCCCATCTCCTCCCTGGTTTGGGTCAGGTCATCGCGCAGCTGCTGCTCGCGCGACGCCACGAGGTGGTCGACCTCATCCACCATCTGTTCGTCCGCGCCCACGCGGGACTCCATGATCGAGATGATCTGAGCAGGCCAGCCTTGAGGAGAACGTCCATGCTGGCAATGATGGCGGACTGGATATGCTGGAGGACGCAGTGGTGGTCGATCGGAAGATCACAAGCTAGGCTGGCTTCGGAAGCCCTCAAAACTAATAAGGAAGTTCACGCTTTCAGTGGGCCCTCTATGGCAATGATAGTGCAATGAAATAGCCAGGACATTGCAATGCTATTATAATGCGATTGCCATGCTGTTGCGATTCTGCATGGCAACTGCATGGCAACTACATGGCAATATCATGGCAACAGCATGGCAATAGCATGACAGTCATGGCAACTGCATGGCAATTGCATGGCAATAGCATGGCAATCGCATGGCAAATGCATGGCAACAGCATGGCAAATGCATGACAGTAGCATGGTCACTGCATGGCAACTGCATGACAACACCACGGCAACTGCATGGCGAATGGCGATCGCATGTCAACTGTATGACAATAGCATGGCACCTGCATGACAATCGCATAGACATTGTATGGCAACTGCATGGCAGCTGCATGACAGTAGCAAGGTAGCTGCACGGCAGCTGCATGGCAATTGCATGGTACTAGCATGGCGACTGAATGGCCATACCACGGCAAACGCATGACCATGTCATGGCAACAGCATTGCAACTGGATGGCACTGGCATGGCAATAGCATGGCAATCGCATGGCAAGCTTATTGCAATCGTATGGCAACTGCATGGCAATTGCATGGACATAGCATGGCAATCGCATGGCATTAGCACGGCGACAGCATGGCAGCTGCATGGCAATCGCACGACACTGCCATTACAACTGAATGACGATCGCATGGCGATAGCATGGCAACTGCATGGCAATTGCATGGCAATCGCATGGCAGTACAATGACAATAACATGGCAGCTCCATGGCTATAGCATGGCAATGACATGGCAACTGCACGGCAGTCGCATGACAACTGCATACCAATCGCATTAACATAGAATGGCAACTGCATGGCAATCGCATGGAAATAGCATGGCAACTGCGTGGCAAGTGCATGGCAATAGTATGGCAGCTGCATGGCAATAGCACGGCACGAGCATTAGACCTGCATGGCAATATCATAACAATAGCATGGCAACTGCATGGCAACTGAATGGCAATATCATGGCAGTTACATGCCATCAGCACGGCGATCGCGTGGTGGCAGCATGGCAATAGCATGGCAACTGCATGGCAATAACATGGCAATAACATGATAACTGTATGGCAATAGCATGACAGCTGCACGGCAATCGCATGGCAATAGCATGGCACTAGCATGACAATTACATGGCAATAGCATGACACCTGCACGGCAACTGCATGCCAGCCGCATGGGCAATCGCATGGCAACTGCATGCCATTAAGATGTCAACTGCATGGCAATAGCATGACAATAGCATGACATCTGCATGGCAATCGCATAACAATATAATGGCACTAGCGTGGCAATCGCATGGCAATAGCATGGCAACTGCATGACAATCGCAGGCCCATAGCATGGCAACTGCACGGCAATCGCATGGCAATATCATGACAACTGCATGCAACCAGGATGACAACTGCATGGCAATCGCATGGCAATCGCATAGCAATAGCATAGTATATGCATGACCGTAACATGTCACTAGCATGGCACTTGAATGACGATAGCATGGCAACTGCATGGCAATATCATGGCAAAGGCATGACAATCGCACGGGCATAGCATGGCAATAGCATGACATCTGCATGGCAATACCACGGATTCTGCGTGACAACCTTATTGCAATCGCATGACAACTGCATTGCAATTGAAAAAACAATAGCATGGCAATCGCACGGCAACTGCATGACAATAGCATGGCAACTGCATGGCAATAGCACGGCAACTGGATAGTAATAGCATGGGAACTGCATGACAATCGCATGGCAGTAATTTGGCAACAGCATGGCAGTCGCATGGCAACTGCATAACAATAGCATGGCAACTGCATGACAAGCGCATGGCAACTGCATAACAATTGCATGGCAACTGCATGACACCTGCATGGCAGCAGCATGACAATCGCATGGCAATCGCATGGCAATCGTATGGCAACATCATGGTAATCGCATGACAATAGCATGACAATCGCATGGTGCAATCGCATGGCAATAGCATGGCTACTTCATGGCAATCGCACAGCAATAGCATGGCTAATGCATGGCTATAGAAGGGCAACTGCATGACAATCGCATGAACCTACCATGGCAACGGCATTGCAATCGCATGGCAATAGCATGACAGCTGCATGGTAATGGCATGGCAACTGCATGGCAATATCATTGCAGTAGCAGGACAACTGCATGGCAATCACATGGCACTAGCATGCATGGCAACTGTGTGGCAACTGCCTGGCAATCGCATGACAACATCATGGCAACTGCATGGCAATAACATGACACCTGCATGATAATCGCATGGCAGTAACATGGCTACTGCATGGCACTAGCATGGACACTGCATGGAAACTTCATGGCAATAGCATGGCCACTGCACGGCAATCGCATGGCAATAGCATGGCAACTGCGAGGAAACATCATGGCAACAGCATGACATCTACATGGCAATCGCATGGCAATGTTAGCCAATAGCCTTGCAACTGCATGGCAACTGCATGACAATCGGGAACCAGGCCGCCCATGAAATCGGCGCTACACTTTGGCCTACTCTAGCAACATCCGCTAGGACGCCTTCAGGGCAATCGCTGATTATTGAAAAACGGCCCTAGGTGAGAAGCTGATCACAGGGATAGAGTCGAGACATCTTTCTTGCACGCGTTGCGAGAAGAAGAGACGTCGGAGGTGCCATCCACTCCCTCCTCGATGTCATAATTGCCCCAGCGCCTCCTCGTCCTCGTCCTTGATCTACCTTCGATTCCTCCCTCGTCCTCGCCCCCGTCCTCCTCCGGCTCCTCCCGTACCATCTCTACATGCTTACACTCACACACATGCGAGCTATGTAATAAGGGGAGGGTGTGCAGCTCATGCATAAATCAGAAAGGAAAGGTAGGGTCAGCATGATCGACAAGCGAATTCCACCAGCACCTGTGGTCACTCGAGCCCCCTCGTCATCGTCGTCGTCGTCGTCCTCCTCCTCCTCCTCCTCCTCCTCCTGGTCCGCATCATTACTTGTCGCTGTCATCATCGTCCATTCCTCCTCGTTACCGTACGCCTCTCCTGGTCCCAATCATGGGCCTGGCAAGCCAGGGCGCCTGCAGACCGTTGGACACAGCGCGAAGAGCCTTCTCGGGCCGTCTTAAGGCCCTCTGGGGCCGCATTGGAGGTCTTGCTGGGCTTTCAGGCGGCGCTCCAGGGCGTTCCAAGGCCGTGTGGGCCCCCTCTCGATTCTATGGGGGCCTATCGGGGGCCGTCTACACTGGGAGGCAACAGCTGGAAAACCTCGGTTGCATCGGCAGCGTTCACCTCTCAAGCCCATCCCCTGGAACGCCAAAGAAGGCCGCTGGAGCCTTCCCAGCACAGGTGAAAACAAGTCCTACGGCCCTACGTCTTACAAACATGAGCTCCGATCACCTCGGGGAGAGGGCGCGCCTGGGGAGAAGCGGAGGAGGGACGAGGAAGATGAGGAGGGAGGAGCGACGAAGGGGGGGATGGAATCGGAGGGACGAGCTTCTCCTCCTCCCCCGCCCCGCTGCCCCTCCTTCCTGACCGCCGAGCGAACGACGGTCGCACCGGCCAACCTGTGCGAATGCCGCCTTGGCCTCCCTACTCAAGCCGCGGGCGCTGCATGGGGTGAGGGGTCACCGCCTACCTCCTCCTCTGAGAGGACAGCAGGCAGCAGGAGGCAAGGGGAGTCCTCCTGCCTCATGCTACTTGCTACCCTCCTGCCACCCCTCGCCGCGCGCGCGCGGGCGCCCACGCGGGTGGGGATCGGGCGACCAGGAGGTTGTTGGGCAGCTGTGTGCACACCTTCAGCATGGACCGCTGCGCCCACGGGTCGCCAGGCTCGAAGTCGGGGTCGAAGCTCCAGGTCTCCTGGAGCGGCAGCACGGCAAGCAGCGGTCCGCGGCGCGGAGGACGCGCTCGAGCTGGAGAGAGAGGGGGGGGAGGGGGGCGTTTCTCGGCTCGGTTGCTGGCGCATTGCGGTAGACCCATCCCGACGAACAATCCGAGAAGAATGGGAGTTGGTCGGTTCGCTTGGCTGTGGCTTCAGGGCGACTCGTTCTGACGAACAACTTGAGACGCTGGAGCCGTGGGAGGAGATAGTGACCGACACTTCTCTACTGTGCAGTCCTGTCCTTGAACGGAGAAGAGGAGGATGTGGCAGATGGTGGCGAAGACGAGGAGAAAGAGGAGGACAATGGTGATCAAGATGAGAGTGAGGAGGACGGAACGATGAGATACAAGGGGAGGGGAGGACGGTGAAGAAGGGAAGGACGGCGAGGATTATGAAGATGCGCCGCAATGGCCCCTGGCACGCTGGCGAGCGTTCCATGACTCATGGTCTGTCTGGTAGGCCTGACACCCCTCGAAGCGACGACATAATGAAAGAATCCCATTCTCGGCGCCCCTCTCGACCTCAAGACTGGCCAGTGGGTCACCAAATGCGACACCGCAAGTTGCAACGATGCCTTTCTGGACGGCCGTGGGGGCCTTCCCCGACGTCCGAGAAGAGCGCCAGACAGCCCCGGCAGCCCACAGAATCCCTAGAAATGGGCCCCAGGAGAATCCCGCCGGCAGCCGAAGCCAACGACGACACAGCCCAGCCACCGCAGGAACTAGCAAGTGCAGGACCCCACCCAAGCGTCGAATGGCGGGGGTCTCTACAACACAGCGGGAGGCGGCCAGGCGGCCAAGCTCCTGCTATGGCAGCCTGACACGTGGCTTCTGTCGCAACGCGATGTCCGCCGACAACGGTGTGTTGTTTTCAACTTGGCCGCCCAGAACGGTACGGAACGAAAATGGGTACGGTGCCCAGCACCACATGTTGTCCAAAACCGACAGCGGCCGCTGTTGGGCAAGCGGCCTCCTGTCTCAAATGGTCAACGGCGGGGCCGACGCCGACAACACACCCTGCTCAGGATGGACAGGACCTGCTGCTGGACTTGGTACCCCTTCTTTCCGTATCCATCTCGCTCGTCCCGATTCAGTCGTGAAGGCCCGGGATGCCCCGCCCGCGCGCTGCGCCAGCAGTCCTTCGGCGCGCCGACCAGCGGCGTCGAAAGCGGAGCCCTCGCGCGGCCAAGCGCGGCCGCGGGGACCAGGGGCTTCTCCTCTGCTCGTTCTCCGCCTCTGTCTAAGATGTTCGGAACACGCTTCCAGCGGATGCTACAGGATGGCGGCCAGGAAAACGACGCGGGTGGACGACGACGCAGCACCCCGGACATGCGGATAAGAGTGAGGAGGCGCCCCATCGTCCTCCAGACGCCCCCATACGTCGCCGCTAAACGTCGCCCCCAAAACGTGGCCCCCGTACGTTGCCCCCAAACGTCGCCCCCAGAGGCCGACCTCTTATCCAGCCACGCGCGCGCGCGGGGGGAAAGAAAGACGAATCGGGCCCCCTCATTGTGATCAAGTAGTACTCGACTTATGATGGGTAAGATGTTGGAGAGGAGTAATCTCAACGACAACGACAAAGCCCACGCGCAGCCCTGGAACCCTCCTTACGAATAGCCCCCTATGGCGTTGTGTCGTGACGCTCCCCCCAAACACTTCTTAACCGTTATCCTACACTTTCGGCGGTGGCCAGAGGTTTTCCGATACTCCTCTCGAGAATACGTATCAACGGAGATTTTGGAAGGTTTCCAAGACGTGCTCTGTTTGCTCATCCGCTCCTCCCCCCCCTTCCTCTCGACAGGGACGGGGTCAAACTCTCTCGCTCCTCGGTCCTCGGCTCCTCCCCCTCCTCGAGTGAGCTCCATCGACCCTCTTCGCACTAAATCAGACTCGCACTAAATCGACCCTCTTCGCACTAAATCAGACTAGGAAAAAAAACGTCTCTCAAGGAGGACGAAAACGAGGAACGCAAAGGAAGAACACGGGGACGAGAACAGAGGGAGGACGAGGATGCGGAGGAGGAGGGGAGAGGAACACATATGTGTGTAAACACATATGTGTATGTATATACAGATATAAATATCGTCTGTGTACGGAAGAAACACCTGTCTTACACCGCGTCGCCAAAGGCGAACCATCACATAATGACATAACTCGCTGCTAAAATCTCTGGCACGAAGGTTAAAATCTCGGGCAAGAATTAAGCATGGTTCTAAGTCGCGCGAGCGTGGCGGCCCGCGGGGGTCCGCGGGCGAAAATACCGTGGCAAGGTCCCGGCAGGTTCGGATCAGAGATGCAGGGACTCCTGTGCGCGGCCTCGCCCCCCCCCCCCCCGAGCGCCCCAATGAGGCGCCATGAGGGTGGCACAAGGCACGAGCGTTCCAAGATCGTCCACGTTGCTCCCAAGACGGCCCAAGAAGCGCCCAAGACGCTCCAGAGGGGTTCCAAGAGGAGTTCGAGAGGCCCCGAAAACACACAAATCTCTGATGTCGAAAGGGTTTTCGGACGATTTTGGCGGCACCGCGTTTTCGAGCTGCTGGCCGCCCTGGACGGCCCAAGAAGCCCCAAGATCGCTCTAAAAGTGCAGAAAAATCCTCCAAGAGGGCCCCTGCATAGAGGCCTCCAAGACGGCCCCAAGAGAGGCCCAGAGGGAGAACCCAAACAGTCATTTGGAGCTCTCGGCCCCAAGAGGCGCCCAGGAAGCCCCCAATGGCCCCCAAGAGCCCCCCGAGAGGCCCCAAGAGCTCCCCCAAAAGGCTTCCAACAGGCCTCCGAGAGCCCTCCCTAGAGAGACCCCAAGGAGCATCCATGAGGACTCTGACCCACCACGCAGGTACGACTCGAAATCGCCCTCTAGGGCAGTCTATCGGCTCTCTGCGACAGGGTGTGATCCACATTTCCGATGATTTCCTCGAGGACAACCCTGCCTGCCACCATGCAGCCATGCACTGTCTTGCGAAATTGGACGGCGGAGTGAGCGAAGCGATTACTTAACACCGCCCCCGAGAGGCCCCCGAGAGCGCTCGTCTTCGTCGTCGTCGTCGTCGTGCTCGTCATCGTCATTGTCTTCGTCGTCGTCTTCGTCGTCGTCGTCGTCGTCGTCGTAGTCGTCGTCGTTATCGCCGGCGGGCCAATGGACAACTGGTGGGGTCCAAACCGGGGGGTCCAGACCAAGAGGGGGTCCGGACCGGGGAGGATCGTCCGGGACCAGGGGGGTTCGACCGGGGGGGGTCCGGGACTGGGGGAAGGCCCCGGACGGCGGGGGAAGTCCGGGACCGGGAGGGTTCTGGGACCGGGGAGAGTCCAGAACTGGGGGGTGTCCAGGGACGTCCCGACCTGGGAGGGTCCCGACCGGGGGGGTCCCGACCGGGCGGGGGGGTCCCGACCGGGGAGGTGTTCGGACTGGGGAGGGGTTCGGACTGGGGGGGGTCTGGACCTGGGGAGGGCATGGGGGGGTCCGGACCAAAAAGGGTCCCGGCCGACTGGGGGGGGTCTGGACCGGAGGAGGGGGATCCGGACCGGGTCCGGGCCGGGGGCGGGGGTCCGAACTAGGGGGGTCCGGACCGAAGGGGCTCAAGGAGTCCAGACCGGGGGGGTTCAGACAGGAAGGTCGACTCTGGACTGAGGGGTCGCAACAGGGCCGGTCGCGACGGGATATGGTCAGTGGACTGCCCCGACCTGCCCTGATAGCCCCCTGCAAAACATATACAAAACACATAAATACGTTTAGATGCGATCGCGCCCAGGTGCAGGCGAGAAGCCCATCGTATCTATTTCTGCAACGACGACAACATAGACATTATCTTTAGATGCGCGCCCCCTGCCTGCGCGGGAACGCCGCCGTATCTAAACGTATATGTTGTTCAAGCATGTCTCGAAATGTGGGACCGTATCTGTTATTCATTGAATTGTTGTCAGAATGGATGCTGTTGGCTGTGCTCTCGGCGCGAACAAGATCCATGATATTGGTCGGAGCAATGAACAACGGGATGGGGATAGTGGGAAGCTGTAGCGATGAGGAGTGAGGAGACGAGCGACGACGACACAAACGATGAGGAGTAGGATGGATAACAACGACGAAACGAAATTTAGGAGAGAACAGGGTCGGAACAGGGAACCGTAGGATGGGGAGAGCAAAGAGGAGGAGGAAGAGGAGGAGGAGTGAATCGGACGATGAGCGCAGACGAGGAGGAGGAGGAGGATGAGGACGCGCGGTGAGGAGGCAAGAGGAGCTAGGTAAAATTAGAGGGGGCGTCCGAAGGAGAACGTGGAGGAGGGGGAGTCAGGACGGGGATGAAGTCGATCAGCGATTGAAGAACATGGCTCTTCTGCTTCGTCCTCCTCGTCCTCATGATCGTTCGGCCCGCCCGCCGTCCATGATTTCCCACTTCACTTCCTCCTCCTGCTCCTCCTCCTCATCAGCATCGTCGTCCAGACTGGCACGTGTATTATCTTCCCTGTTCGTGGTAAGTGAGCGGCCTAGGCATGGCAGTGGAAACATGGCGCCGTATCTATTCGTACCTATTTGTGGTAGACATGTTTTCCAGCGATGGGCGCCATATTGAACCGTATCTACACATATCACATATCTAAATATGTCAATTCGTATATAAAAATGTCCCCATATCAAAAATTTGGAAGAAAACAAACCTCTCGTATCTAAAATAAAAACTCGTATCTTAGCGTATGTATTTTTGAAGCATAACCTCAGGAAGGCATTCAGAAACCCCCCTGGGTTATTCTTAGCACCCGGTTTTCTCAATATTCCAGGCGGGCAGTTTTAGCCGAACGATACACTTAGCACCCGCCGCACACAGAAAACAAAATCCACCATCGGCGGAGGAATACGAATAAGAGTAAGAATAAGAATGCGAATATACTACTACTACTACTACTACTACTACTACTACTACTACTACTACTACTACTACTACTACTACTACAACGGCTACTACGACTACTACGCCTACGACTACGACTACGCCTACAACTACGACTACGTAGACGATGACGACTACGACGACGACGACCTCTACGACTACTATCTACTACTACTACTACTACTACTACTACTACTACTACTACTACTACTACTACTACTACTACTACTACTACTACTACTACAACGGCTACGACGACTACTACGCCTACGACTACGACTACGCCTACAACTACGACTACGTAGACGATGACGACTACGACGACGACGACCTCTACGACTACTATCTACTACTACTACTACTACTACTACTACTACTACTACTACTACTACTACTACTACTACTACTACTACTACTACTACTACTACTACTACTACACTACTACTACTACTACTACTACTACTACTACTACTACTACTACTACTACTACTACTACTACTACTACTACTACTACTACTACTACTACTACTACTACTACTACTACTACTACTACTACTACTACTACTACTACTACTACTACTACTACTACTACTACCTACTACCTACTACCTACTACCTACTACCTACTACTACTACTACTACTACTACTACTACTACTACTACTACTACTACTACCTACTACCTACTACTACTACTACTACTACTACTACTACTACTACTACTACTACCTACTACCTACTACCTACTACCTACTACCTACTACCTACTACCTACTACCTACTACTACTACTACTACTACTACTACTACTACTACTACGACTACTACTACTACGACTAGTACTACGAGGAGGAGGAGGAAGACGAGAGTCCTCAGAGTCCTCCTCCTCCTCCTGCTCCTCCTCGTCCTCCTCCTCCTCGTGCTCTTCCTGTTCCTATGCGCTTCCTATTACAATTCCTTTACAGAAATCGATGTTTCCCGGCCGTCCTAAGGGGGAGTCCATCCGAGGGTATCGCCCCGCCCGCACCGAGGCGTTATCTTAGCACCGCGTGGCGCGGAAATTCCAAAGACAGCGAGGCGTGCACTCAGAGTGTCTCTGAATGTGAGTGAGTCTGCGCTTGGCAGGCCTTAGCTAGGCCCCGAGTCCCCTCAGCCAGGTCTTCCGGTGCGAACATAACGCTCCAGGGTGCGGGGGCGTTATAATCCACCGGAAAGGGGGGGGGGGGAGTTCTTAATGCCTTCCTGAGGTTATCCATTCGTATCTCATTTTCTGCATGCAAACGCAATACAACACATATGACTCAGGGAGAAATTTTAGATACCACCTGGTTCTTCCGAATGCAGCTGCCGCTGGGGAAATGTGTCTTCCAGGGTCGTCATGGCCATCCTCGTCACCGCTTGCACATATTGGCTCAAGCTTCGGCATGGCTGCCCCAAGCCTGGTCGTCTCCCACGGTGGTCGGGTTGGTTCATGTCGGCTCGGTTCGGAAGGCCACTCGGTTCCGGTTCGGTTGCGGTTCTGGTTCGGTTCGGTTCCCCCCGGTTCGGTTCTGAACGAATTCGGTTCGGTCCGGTTCGGTTTTCTATTTTTCCTGATTTGGTCCGGTTCGGTTCGGTTCGGTTGCGGTTATCGGTTCGGTTTGGTCCCAGAGGCCCAGTGAAACGCACAGATGAGCATGCACACATTCCAGAACTACCAATATGCTAGCAGATGTTTTTTTTGAGAGAGAGGAGAAGAGAAGAAGCCCGTCCAGGGGCAAGAAACAAGGAAATCCGCTGCCCCTCTGGGAGGCTTTCCTTACCCAGGCACCCGAACAATGAGCACACCAGCCTGGGCAACAATCTGAGGCTGGATGAGGTTAGCTGCCAGCGCTGGGCAAAACCAAACGGAACGCCCTTCGCGCCAGGGGGGCACGACTTGTCCGCCCCATTGGTGCCGACAGAATGCACCAGCAAACTGTCAGAACGAGAGTTCACCGGCTTCACGCGCCGCTAAGGTGGGCAGGAGGAGGAGGAGGAGGAGGAGGAGGAAGAAAGATTAACAAATCCTCTGGCGCGCTACGCAAGCCAACCTGCTATAGGCGAGCCGTGGCGCGCAACCGGGGATTGGGGACACTGACAAAACTGCATAGTGGAGCCACTATCTGGGAGGGAAGAGAGTCCACAGGCCCAGCGATACGAATCCCACCAGCCCTTTAGGGCGTAGGTGGTCTAGGGAGTTTCCTCTGCCACCCCCCCTTCTTTCCCTTCGGGGAGGGGTTTACCCCTCCCCTTACCCCTCCCCACTGACCTGGACGAGGCGTCTCGCGAGGTGTCAGGGCGCCCAAGATGGCTCAAGACGGCTCCAAGAGCGAAAAAGCGAGAAAGCACAAAACATTGATTCTACCTAGGTTTTGGAAGGATTTTGGCCTCTTGGGGGGGCCCAAGAGGCGCTTCGAGGCACTCTAGAGGGGCAACCCTAATTGGAGCTCCCCCCTTCTTTGATAGATCTCCTCCAAGATGGCCCCAAGAGCGCCCCGAAGGCTCCCAAGAGCGCCCCAAGAGCGCCCCAAGAGGGCCCCGAGAGACCCCAAGAGGCCCCCAAGAAGCCTCTAAGAGGCTGCCAAGAGACCCCCAAGAGGCCCCAAGAGAGTTCAAGATGGCCCAAGACGGCTCCAAGAGCGAAAAGGCGAGAAAGCAACAAACAATGATTTTACCTAGGTTTTGGAAGGATTTTGGCCTCTTGGGGGGCCCAAGAGGCGACTCGAGGCACTCTAGAGGGGCAACGCTAATTGGGGACCCCCTCTTCTTTGATCGATCTCCTCCAAGATGGCCCCAAGAGCGCCCCGAAGGCTCCCAAGAGCGCCCCAAGAGCGCCCCAAGAGCGCCCCAAGAGGCCCCAAGAGGCGCCCAAGAGGCCTCCAAAAGGCTCCCAAGAGACCTCCAAGAGGCCCAAGAGGCTCCCAAGACGGCCCAAGACGGCTCCAAGAGCGAAAAGGCGAGAAAACACAAAACATTGATTTTACCTAGGTTTTGGAAAGATTTTGGCCTCAAGAAGGGCCCAAGAAGCGATTCGAGGCACTCTAGAGGGGCAGCGCTAATTGAGGACCCCCCCTTCTTTGATAGATCTCCTCCAAGATGGCTCCAAGAGCGCCTCGAAGGCTCCCAAGAGCGCCCCAAGAGGGCCCCGAGAGGCCCCAAGAGGCCCCCAAGAAGCCTCTAAGAGGCTGCCAAGAGACCCCCAAGAGGCCCCAAGAGAATCCAATATGGCCCGAGACGGCTCCAAGAGCGAAAAGGCGAGAAAGCAACAAACAATGATTTTACTTAGGTTTTGGAAGGATTTTGGCCTCTTGGGGGGCCCAAGAGGCGATTCGAGGCACTCTAGAGGGGCAACGCTAATTGGGGACCCCCCCTTCTTTGATCGATCTCCTCCAAGATGGCCCCAAGAGCGCCCCGAAGGCTCCCAAGAGCGCCCCAAGAGCGCCCCAAGAGGCCCCAAGAGGCCCCCAAGAGGCCTCCAAGAGGCCTCCAAGAGACTCCCAAAAGGCCACAAGAAGCTCCCCGAGATACGCAAGAGGCCTCCGGGACCGCCAAGAGGCCCCAAAGACGGCCCAAGAGGCCCCCAAGCTCGCCATTGTCCTCCTCCTCCTCCTCTTTTTCTCCCTCCTCCCTCCTCCCCCTCCCCCTCCTCCGCCTCCTCCTTCTCCTCCTCCTCCTCCTCCTTCTCGTCCTCCTCGTCCTCGCCCTCCTCCATCTCCTCCTCCTCATCTTCCTCCTCCTCCTCCTCCTCCTCCTCCCCCTCCTCCTCCTGCTCCTCCTCCTGCTCCTCGTCTTCCTCCTCCTACTCCGACGACGACGACTCCTCCTACATCCTCCCCTCTTGGGGCGTATGGCGGCTCAACCCGCTCTTTGTTCTTCTGCATGCTCCCCCGCTTCCCTCATCACCTCCACTCCCCTGGGGCTCATTTCTGGACGGGCTGGTGGGGATACGCGAAGCGTCTAGAATTCCCACGTAAAACGTATCAGCTTGAATGGGAATGTGCTGCGTGCAAGCTCCTGTAGCCCAGCCGGCCCATTCAAAATCCACCCAAACAGGTGGCTGGAGGAAGAGAGCACGGAGGAGGAGGAGAAGGCAGAGAAGACAGACGTCCAGGCCGAGCCCAAGGGGGGCGGCGCCAAGTGAGGGAGAGCCGCACGAAGATTTGGTAAACATGCGCAGCACAACGAACTACCACAAAAACCGAACAAGCATAGGGGAGGGGAGGGGAGGGCTAGTGGACACCAGCGGGTGCTGGACCACCAGCGGGTGCGCAGAGCACAAGATGTTCTCAGCCATGTTATACACGGTTCCTCGGGGTCGCCCATGGCGCCAGAACTCGAATCCTCCGGCCGGTCGGCTGGGCCGCCGGGGAGCCAAAACTCGAACTTTCCGGCCGGTCGGCCGGGCCCCTCGGAGGCCACGAACCAATCGGCCAAAAGGAAAAATGCCACATGTCATCACACGGGCTGGTTCTCCTAAGCACTGGCGGGAAAACCCGGTCTTAAGTAACATGTTATACATATGCATATAGCGGAAACTAGCGAGCAAGAGCAACCACACCTTCTGCCAATGGGCGCTCCGTGCCCCGGATGCCTTCGCGCATGTATTCACGATATGCGCCTGCGATGTCTGTGACCTCCAAATGCCCATGCCGGCGCGCATTGTGCACCCGGTGCATGCCGGGCGCATATATGCTAGCAGATGTTATGGCGTTTCGTCTTCCCTTCAACTTCCCATCTGTTCCCATATGTTCCTTGGACTCTACGTTGAACTGTGTCTGCTCCAGGGCCCCGCATGTGGGAGGGCGGCGCTGTTGGCAGGCTCCACCCAAGCCAGGCGGTTGCGGCACTGTGGCGCCCCAGAGGTCTGGCGCTGGGCCGAGAGGTGCAAGTTGAAGGGCCCGAGGTAGACACAAATAACGATACACACATCCCAAGAATCGTACACTACTTATACAATTTCACATGCTCATTGGAATATACGTTTATGTGTGGCTGTGCCTAGTTTTCCATCCTGACAAGCGGGGGAAGAGAGCCCAACGTGGTGGGCGCGTCAATGGGGCAGGCACCGCAGAATGCTCCTGGTGCTAGAATGGCGGGCCCGACATGTCGAAGAGCGCAGCGGGTCCAGGTGGGCCGATGGGCTCGTCGTCGATATGTCCCTGAAGTTCAATGGCTCGCTGGCGGTGGTGCTGTGCGAGGGGGAGGTTCTTCATCAGGTTCGTCAGCATGGCCGTTTGCTGTAAAAGGTGGGGGGACGGTCGCCAGAGGCGATGGGATAACTGACATTATGTGCGTGTTCCTTCGCATGGAATTCGCGGAAAAACACTGCAAGTTTCTTGCGTACACTGGTGTCGGGCGCGATCTATGCTGAGAGGACCTCATAATCAGCAACTCTCCGCACAATGTTTCGCAGACCAGTCTAACTCAGTGGCCAAGTGTGCTGTTGGGCAGTTGCCCGTCGATGCTACAACACTTCTCCTGCTCCTCTTCCTTGTCCTCCTCTGGACGCCGCCCATTCAGAAGCCACCAAACATCCACCCCCTTGGCCGCCGTCGATACCCCGAAGCGCGCGGGCAGCCCGCCCAAGCCGCCTGATGCCGAACACCACCGCGACGTCGAACGGGTTCCGCACGAGGCTCGTCGACAGGGACCGCGGCGCCGCCAGGATGGCGGGCGGCGGCCCGAGGGAGGGCGGCGCCTCCTCGTCTGCAGCGGCCCAGAGGGGACGCGAGGAGGTGCAAGGAGAAGAGCAGGGGCGGGGGCAACCGCAACAACAACAGGTCCCCCCCAATAGTTGAAAACTGTTAGAATCTTTACGGCGACCTGATTGACCGGACTGAGGCCCCACCACTTATGGACAAAAATATTTCTCCGAGGCACGAGCTGCACAACAACGACAACGACTGCGACTACCATTACGACTACACAACTTCCGCGCGACTACCATGACGACTACGACTTCTGATATGACGACTACTACGGATTATCGAAGAGATTGTGAGCAACGCCTTCGGCGAATAATGTGTCGATCCGCAGAGCAATCCTCCTACAAACGAGCCCAAAGTTCTTCTGTCGCGCAGGGTAGCCCAAAGAACTTTATCCGCAGGCCCCCAACAAGGCAACGGGGAGCTAGCTGCAGTGAGTGCTCACGGAGACCCCGGCCGACCGCTCGGGTAAGCCAGCAGTCACGTCCATCAGTGGCCTGGGTGCGCAAAACGTGCTGCTGTACGTACCCCTCCCTCCTGCAGCAACTCGGCGGCTGGGAACTCCGTGGCCGCGAGGCGCCGGCCGTCCTGGGCCGGTCCGGACTGCTCCATCCACCTCTAAGAGGGCTGATCTGGACCGCTCCCTCCACTTCGCTGCGTTACGTTCGTTTTCTTATGGAAGCCTCTCTTAGTCAAGGTGTTGGTGGATGAGCCGCAAATGGCGGCAGATGTCAGCAACCGATGGCAGCAACTGGCGGCACACGCCACGCGCCAGCCGTGCACCAACCACCCCCTCTTCGCCGTCAGTTGCCTCTGCACGCTAAAGACACACTTTCGGTAGAATTCAAGGCTTCCATTGAAACGAACCAAACCTGCGCCTCCCTCCGCCTCCACCATGGTGAAGGGTCCGCATGTCCAGGCGTCCCGAACAAAAGCGCAACAGCCCTTTTTGTTCTGATCTCGGAGCCCTGGAGTCTGGTTTCGGGCGCCTGGAGACGACCATATAACAGAGTGACCCACGGCGAGAATCCGCTCGCACGGGTGGGGTCTGAGACTCACTAAAGAGGGGCACGTCGTGGAAATCCGCCGACCCCGTCGGCGTGCGTGAACGGCTCTTCCGTCAGAGCCGCCGTCATGGTCGTCGCCCTCGCCGCTCCCCCCCTTTTCCCTGAGCCCTCCTCCTTAAAGTCCCACCCAAAGGGGAATCGAGCAACGTCGTAATCCAGTCAAGAGGAAGCCCTTTCCATGTGATCCCTGCTCCGCCAGGGGGGGGGGGGTCCTGGGGGTTGTGACCCCCCCCCAGGTGGAACACCCGTCCCTGGGAAAAGTTGTCCCATTCGATGTCCCGCATCCTAAACGCCTCGAACTTACTTGTACCGCGGCTGGCTCTAGGAGCAAGATCGCTCCAAGGCGGCCCAGGATACCCCGAAGACGGCCTCACAAGTCTCCAAGACGCCCCAAGAGAGCTCCAGCCCCAAGAAGGCCCGAAGAGGCGAGCATCATTGATTGGCATGTCGTTGTTCCATGTGCTTCGCGTCCTCGCCTTCTCGGGCTCCCAACGCACAAAGACGGCCTAAGAGGCCACCAGGACGACCGAAGAGGGCCCCAAGAGGCTGTCGAAAAGGGGAACACCAAAGGACAGTTCGAGCCTTCCGCCAACGGAGGCGCCCAGCAGGCCCCGAGAGGCGCCCAAGAAGCCCCGACGAGGCCCCCCAAGGCCCAAGAGGGCCCCAAGAGCAGCCCAAGATGGCAAAGTCAACGTTTGCCCGTAAGTGTGTGAATGCTTTTCGTTGTCGTCGTCGTCTTCGTCGTCGTCCACTTGCAAGGTCGGCGGCATCGGCCGTAAGGCCTTCGCAATAAACCAAATCAACTGCAACGGAAGTCTGGGTCCAGGGGTAAGAGGAATGAGCAGAGGAAGGCTTGTTTCTCTCTCAAGACTTCGCCAAGCCATGGCTTCAAAAGACTCGACCTGTCCAAATCAACTTTGACTTCGGAAAAGCGTGCGTCCAGAGAAAAGATGGGTTACGCGTTAAGGTCTTCCCATTCGTTCCTGATTATCAGGCGACTGCGGAGTACGAGCGAACGATCGTGTTCAACATTCTCCCATACCAGGCCGGAGCCGCGGCCGTCCGAAGGCCCTTCGAAATCGTCTCAGAAAGGTCCGGAAGCCCGTGAAGAAATTCGTTTCCTATGGCGAAACATGTTCAAAGAATTGGTGCATGGTGTATCTGCGCATGTGCTGGCAGGGAATTGGGCTACAATGGACGCGATGTAATTAATCACGCCCCATCTCCGCTGTCGAGCAGCACGGAGCTAATGCATCGTCCCCGCTCTCTCTCTCTCTCTCTTCCTTTCTCTTCCTCTCTCTCTTTTTCTCTCTCCTCTCCCACCCCTGCCCTCCCTTCCTCCTTCCAACCCTTCTCCCCCGCGACTGGAGGAAGAAATCGTCTACACCTGGGAGGCGACGTTAGTGGCGAACAGCCCAGGGGGGAGCAATACATACATCCAGGAGCGCCGATTGCCCATGTCTTCGGCGAGGCTCTCAGAGCGATACGTGTGTTACCCGCCCCTCGGCTATTCGCCGTCCTCTTCGCCTCCTGAAATCTACCGACCTGGGAGCCGAAGCCACTTAACCTCTCCGATCCCAAAACCCGCCTGGGTCGCCTGGGGCCTCCGCGTCCGCCAAGGACTTGCACCTGCTCCTCCTGATTGATGATTGCTGACGGCTCGGGGTTCAACGAACGCGGCCTGCCCCCCCAGCAGCGGTCGCTGCTGAGGGGGGTGATCGATGCGGGGGAGGAGGATGAGATATGGAGGCAAGGATGGGGTGGATGAGGATGAGGATGCTGCTCCTCCTACTCCTCCTCCTGGTCCTCGTCCTCCGTACCGTACTCCTCGCGGGACGCCAGGAGCGGCCACGGAAATCCCCAGGTCGGGAGCAAGAGGCTGGCGGGGTCCAACACTAAGGGAACAAACCATAACATCAACACACAAACTCGTAGGTCCGGGCGGACTCCTCGGATGGGCATCTGAGGAAGCCGCGCGGACCTCTGAGTTGTTATGTTTATGTCGTTGCGTCTTCCACTGAAAAAAAACCATGCGGACTGGGAGTCGTCGCTGTGGTCTGCCTCCCCCTTCCGTTCCCCATCTCTTCGATGACGCCGGCGGCCCTCGTCCGCTCAGGCGAGGCACCGCCGAGCGCGCAGCCGTGGGCGCGACCGCCATGGCAGCGGCACGGCGGACGAGAGGGGCGGAGCGGGGAGGGGATCGGCAACGACGGAGCCTGAAAAGGATGGACTGATGCGTTCCCCTTCACATGCAGTCAAGTCGAACAGCAAGGACGAGCAATTGTCCAAAAATACCCTTGCATCCTTGCCCGTTCGGCCCATCCTTGGCGACTTTCGCTGGCCAACTCCTTTCAAACACGCCAACATGACCCTCCAAGGCCCTTGCATCCTTACCGCGCGTCCTTATCATGCGACTTGACTGTTCCGTCCACCCCCTCCTCCTTCTGTCTCCCCCCCACCCACCCACATCGCGCCTCTTCTCTTCGTCGTCATCGTCTGGGTCAGAATGACCGTAGCATCGTCTGACTACAACAAGGGCTCTTATCTACAAAATCTGCTCCTCGTCCTCCTCCTCCTCCTCCTCCTCCTCCTTCCAGTCCTCGGAGAAGTTGTGGAACTGACCAAGGAGCTGCCAGCCCTGCTGCTCCAGCTGCGAAGGCTTGCACGTGCGCCCCCCGACGAAGCACACCATGTTGACCTATCCGCGGGTTTCGGGACGAGGAGCAGAAATAGGAAGGCGAGGATGTGGAAGAAGCTACAACCCTCACCCTGAAGCCCTCCAACATAGCCCAAGAGGCTCCCAAGAGAGCCCCAATAAGGGCTCCAAAGAGTCAGCGCCGCCGCCGCCGCAGACGTCGTCGTCGTCGTCTTCGTTGTCGTCTTCATCGTCGTCGTCGTCGTCGTCGTCGTCGTCGTCGTCATCGTCGTCCCCCTTCAGGGTCGGCGGCACCGGCGGTAAGGCGTTCCCAGTAGGAAGGGGAGGGTGTGGACGAAGCTTCAACACGCACCCTGAACCTCGCATGGACGAAGCCATACATTGGGCATCTAGCCTGGGGGGGATCGGGGGTCGGAAAAGAGGGGGGGTAGCGCGGGGGGGGGGGAAATACAAGCGAGCGAGCATGTGGGTACAGGGCTGCTTCGGCGACCAGCAAGATAAAAGTGAGTGCGAGCCTTCTGAACTTGCTGTGTGAGGCTGGTCCGTCTCCGATGATACTCTTCTTTCCCAAGATCTGAAAGATGTCATCCCAAGTTCGCGATAGCCATGCATGCTGTTGCTCTGCAGAACGGCACATTGACCCCAAATAGCGATGTCCTCTGAGTACTGGCAGCGTACCATCCCAACCCTACAAGGCGTGCACCTGTGTGCAGGGAGAGATCTCCCAAGTCTGCAACGTCGGAGATGCGAATCGGCCTCCTTTCGAGCCCTATATCTTACCGAAATCGGCACACTCTAAAACGCCGACCCAACACCTCAAAAGCGCACTGGCCCGGGTGAATACAACCCCAGGTCAGTCGAGCGTTGCAGGATCCTGCAACATCCTGCCAAATCCTGCAAGATCCTGCGCGCTAGCCCGGGTCAATGCAACACTGGCTTTGCAGGATCCTGCAAGATCGGGCGCCTGGCTGACCCCCGTTTGCATTGACCCCCGTTGTAAGGCTCCCGAGCACCTCGAAGACGACGGAGCCCAGCGGGAATTCCCGCTGGCACCATGCGTGGACGCAACCACCGTGGCCTCCGACATCTGTTATCACGACGGGGGCCCCTCGACCTCCAGACCCCATCCCCTCGGAGGCGACGATGGGGGCGAATGGCCCAGGGGAGAGCAATAATAGATGTATCCAGGGGCGCCGATGGTCCATGCCTTCGGCGAGGCTCCTGGGCGAATCCATGTAATGCCTGCCCCTGGGCTCTTCGCCCCTAGCATCGCCTCCGATTCATGCCGCGGGCCGTTTGTTGAAGGGCGCGGCGCCCGAATGCGGCCGCCGAAGACCGAAGCGGCGACACACGCCCGTCGTGTCTTTTTCGCTGCGCCTGCAGATCTTTGGGAGGGGAAGGAGTACGAAGGAAGGTCGAATGTTGCTAGAAGTGCCGCTGGCCCAAGGTGCCACCAGCTGTTGGCCCAATTCTGGAGCCCCTGGGGCCCTCTGGGCCTCGTAAGGGGTGCTCTGGAGGCCGTGGGGGCCTCCTTGGAAATCCAGGGGGCACCTTGGGCCAGGGGCACTTCTGGCAACCCCCGAGGATGAGGGGCAATGACAGGAGGGGACTCGACCTGGAATCAGCGATACATCACCGAGAGATCGGCGATAGGCCCCCGATCACAAATCCGAATGTTCCTGGGCTGGGTGGGGCTATCAGACCCCTATCGGCGATCAATAGGCGATTGGGGGTCGATGCATCCCTCCCTATGTCCATACCCCCCTATCGCTGCCCATGAGAGGAGGGGAAATTTGGCGCAAAGCAGCCGAATCGGTAGAAGTCGAATCGGCCAGAATCGGCAGTCTAACAAGCCTCCGTTGATAGATCGAAATCAAAAACTTAAATCGGAATCCGAAATCGAATCGAGCCGGAATCGGACGCCATCGAAATCGAACCGGAGGAATCGAAACGAGCCCCGACCCCCGAGGAGGGGAAGGACCTGGCAGCCCGAGCCGGTGGATGCGCTGCCCCCGAACTCCGCGGTGGCCTCTGGCGTGCAGCGGGGACCACGGCCCAGAGGGGGCGCGCACGGCGGATCGGGGGCCCGCGACTGCGCCGGGGCCCATGCCCTTGCAGCATGCTGCGAGGCCCGCGTTTACACACATCTCGTGCGGCGGCGATGACGTCGACGTTGGTTTCTGACACCGCGTGGATCGTTCAGCCTTGAACAATCGCGGCTTCCCGATAGCGCAGATCGAACAACATCGGTCGGATCTGGGCCACTGGCGGCGTTCAAACTTGAACGCCCGAACTGGCGTCGCCGCCGCGTCAACTCGGCGCGAACCCGCCGTGGACCAACCTTCGGTGGACAAGGAGATATTATTTTGGAGGGGCTTGCCTCTCTGTCATACCAGTCTGACTGAGAACGGATGTGCGTTTACACTTGCTGTTGGACTGACTTTCGACTTGCGTATCGACTCGAACGTCGTCTTGCATTTATACGTGCGTTCTGATTACAATTGTGTTGGCATGCCGATCGCTGCCTTTCGACGTTCGTCTCAATTTCATTTCGACATGCGCGCCGATCCGTATTTCGACTTGCAATCGAAACGTCCCCGAAAGCAGTGCTTGCACTCAAGGGTTCTTACTTCGGTGCCCTGAGGAATTGGATGGGTGTGCCGAGGTTTCGACGTGGGGTCCTGGTGTTGGGTGTGCATGCCGAGGTTTCGCTTGGCGCCCGCCCGTTCCGCTTGGGCGCCTCGTGCTGGGTGGGCGCGCCGAGCTCCGTCTGATGCCCGCCCGTAGGCTCCTCGTGGGCGCCTCGTGCGCTGGGTGGGTGTGCCGAGGCTTCGCCTGGCTCCCGCCCGTGGCCGCCTCGTGGGCGCCTCGGGGGGCCGTGCAGGCGCGTGCCGAGATTCTCGCCCGTGGCCGTTCGTGGGCGCCTCGTGGACGACTCGTGGGTGCGCGGAAGCTTCGCACGGTGCCCGCCCGTGGCCACCCGTGGGCGCCTCGGGCGCTCGGTGGGTGTGCCGAAATTTCGCATGGTGCCTGCCCATGGTCGTCCGTGCGCGCTTCGTGTGCGCCTCGTGCGCTGGGCGGCCGCATAGATTGCACGCCGCTGGGTGCATGTTGACACGCAGCTTGCACCACACAGCCTGCACAACATATACTACGCCACGTAGCTGATACCGCACAACATGCACCACATAACGCACACCACATAGATTGCACTGCACAGCCTGTAACCCATTACCTACACACCAAGTAGGTTGTACCGCATAGCTTGCACCGTGCAGCTGACACCACACATCTTACGCCACATAATGTGCAACACATATGCTGCATCATATAGCTTGCACAGTATATGGTACACTATGTTAGGCAGTGTGGGCCCCTGCCAACGTGTTTCTAGCAACACACGCAGTATAGGTGGTGCAATCTACGTGGTGCAATTGGTGCTGCGCAAAATACGGTGTGCAGCACGTGCTGTGCAATCTATGTGGTACAAACTATGTGGTATACTATGTGACCTGCAATCGGTGTTGTGCCATATATATATATATAGCGTTGTCAACTCCAGTACTCGCGCGATCGTCCCACCAGCCACTTTGTTCGCAAAATCGACGCGGCGGCGATTACGATGAATGCGTGGTGCTGGCTGGAGCATCCCTGAGGCCGCGCTATCGCGCGCAGTCTCGCGCCAAGAGCGGCCAGCGCGCTGGCACTGGACTGCGAGTCGGTGACTCGAGCGGGCGCAGTATCATGGTGACGTTGACAGCAGCGGAAGCAATGATGATGGCAGCAGTGATGGTGGCGATGTTGACGATGACGACGGCAAGGCCAATGGCGGCGCCGATGCTGGTCACGCCGATGACGATGATGGTGTCCACGTGTCGTTTATAAGGATTGTGGAAGGATTTTAGCATGCGCGCGCGGCAGAAGCGCGCGAGTGGCCCGCACGGTGTTATTTGAGAGAGAGCGCCAGTGGATGCCCCTCTGATTGAAAAGAGGGGGGTGCTCGCAAACGCACACACACACACACACACGCACACACACACACCCGTCTTTCAAGGGGTGGGCAGTTTCGAAGCCCCCCCGCCCCTGAAAAGCGGGGGGGGTAGGTTTCGGACACACACCCCTCTGCGCTGGAGAGGGGGGGGAAGATTTCGGACCCCTCCACCCCCCCTTTGCGCCGGAGAGGGTTCGGGGGAGGAACCTCTGTGTTAGGCCAGAAGATCGTGAGCGACACAGATTTCCATCGTGAAAGGCTTACACCGGGGTGTGGCGAAAAAACATAAAATGCTTGCAAAGGATCGTGAAGGTGGAATGCTTGAGAAGGCGATGTTGAGATCAGCAAATGTGCATCGCATAGTATTTGCTGTTGCAAAGGATCGTGAACGGCACAAACTTCCATTGTGAAGATGCTAGATCGTGCGGGTGCAGAAACGCATGGCATTTGCATAGGACTGTGAAGGTTGAGGGCGTCAGACGGCGAATTGAGATCAGCAGATGTGCGATCGGTATGTGGAGAAAAGCATACGGTTTGGATAGAATCGCGAGGGTTGGAGACCTGATAAGGCGAGGTGAAGATCAGCAGATGTGCGCGGCATGGTATTATTCCCCAACCCTCCTGCGTTGGGTTCTCGTTTTGAAAAGAATGCTGCGGTCACCACCTCCTCCTCCTCCTCCTCCTCCTCCTCCCACACCCCTCCTCCTGCAAAGGCTGTGCTCCGGTGGGGTCCATCCTCGCCAGCACAGCCGGGAGCACCGACGCAAGCATCCTCGCCAGCGCAACCAGGAGCACCGACTGCATCCTCGACAGCCCAGCTGGGAACACCGACACCAGCAGCCTCGCCAGCGCGAGCACCAACGTCAGCATCCTCGCCAGCACAGCGGGAAGCTCCGACGCCAGCATCCTCGCCAGCACATCCGAAAGCACCGACGCGAGCATCCTGGCCATCACAGCCAGGGGCACCGACGCCAGCATCCCAGACAACAACGCTCAGAGCACCGACGCCAGCATCATCGACAGCACATCTGGGAGCACCGACGTCAGCATCCTCGCCGGCACAGCCAAAGAGCAACGACGCAAGCATCCTCGCTAGCACTGCGGGGATCCCCGACGCAGGCCTACTCGATAGCACAGCGCGGAGCACCGACGCCAGCATCCTCGCCAGCACAGGCCAAGAGCACCAGCATGTTTGCCAGCACAGCCGAGAGTACCGACGACAGCATCTTCTCCAGCACAGCGAGGATCACCGACGCCAGCATCCTCGCCAGCACAGCCAGGAGCACGGACGCCAGCGTCCTCGCCATCACAGCCTGGATCATCGACGCCAGCATCCTTACCAGCACAGCCTGGAGCATGGACGCCAGCATCCTCGCCAGCACAGCCCAGAGCACCGACTTCAGTATCATCGTCAGCACAGCCGGGAGCACCGACGTCAACATCCTCGCCAGCGTAGTCAGTACCACCGACGCCAGCATCCTCGCCAGCACAGCCGAGAACACCAACGCCAGCATCATCGCCAGCGCAGCCAGAAGCACCGACGCCAGTGCCACCAAAGTTGGAGGCACCGACGCCAGCATCCTCGGCAGCACAGCCAGGAGCATCGACGCCAGCATCCTCGCCCACACAACAGACAGTACAGACAATAACATCCTCGCCAGCACAGCCGAACACACCGGCACCGACTTGTTTGCCAGCGCAGCCAGGCCCGCATCCTCGGCAGCACAGCTGAAAACGCCGACACCAGCAGCCTCGCCAGCGCAGCCGAAAGCAAGAGCGCCAGCATCCTCGCCAGCACGGCAGGGAGCACCGAAACCATCCTCGCCAGCATAGCGGGGAGAGCCGACGCCAACATCCTTGCCAGCACAGCCGGAAGAGCCAACACAGCCAGGGGCATTGACGCCAGCATCCTCGCCAGCACAGCCGGGAGCACCTGCGCTGGCATGTTCGCCAGCACAGCCTGAAGCACCGACGCCAGCATCCTCACCAACACAGCGAGAGCATCGACGCCAGCCGCCTCGCCAGCACGACCGAGATCACTGAAAACAACATCCTTGCCAGCACAGCCTGGATCACCGACGCCAGCATACTCGCCAGCATAGCCGGGAGCCATCGATGCGAGCATCCTCGCCATCACAGCCAGGGGCACCGACGCCAGCATCCTCGCCAGCACAGCTGGCGACGTCAACATCCTCGCCAGCACCGCCGAGAACACCGACGCCAGCATCATCGCCAGCACAGCCAGGAGCACCGACGCCAGCATCCTCACCAGCACAGCAGCGAGCTCAAACGTCAGCATCCTCGACAGCACAGCCAAGGGCACCGACGCCAGCATCCTCGCCAGCAAAGCTGGGGGCACGGACGCCAGCATCCACGACAGCACAGCAGTAGAGATTACTGACGCCAGCATCCTCGCCAGCGCAGCTGGGAGCACCGACGCCAGCATCCTCGCCAGCCATAGCCGGGAGCACCGACGCCAGCATCCTCGCCAGTACAGCCCAAGAGCACCAGCATGTTTGCCAGCACAGCCGAGAGTACCGACGACAGCATCTTCTCCAGCACAGCGAGGATCACCGACGCCAGCATCCTCACAATCACAGCCGAGAGCACCGACGCCAACATCCTCGCGGGCACAGCCAGGCGCACCGAAGCCAGCATCCTCGACAGCACAGCTGGGAGCACCGACGCCAGCATCATCGCCTGCACAGCCAGGAGCACCGACGCCAGCATCCTCACCAGCACAGCCGAGAGCACCGACGCCAGCATCCTCGCCATCACAGCCAGGGGCACCGACGCCAGCATCCCCGCCTGCACAGCCGGGAGCAACGACGCCAGCATCCTCATCAGAACAGCCTGAGGCACCGACGCCAGCATCCTTGCCTGCACAGCTGGGAGCACCGACGCCAACATTCTCGCAAGCACAGCCGGGAGCAGCGACGCCAGCATCCTTGGCAGAACACCCAGGAGCTCCAACGCCATCCTCCTCACCAGCACGCGGGAGCGCCGACGCTGATACAGGCGGCCCCACCAACCAGCAG